TGTACGTACTATTTAAAATATATTTAATATATCCTGTCAAGATATCCTGACAGAGCTGAAAATATTGATGACTTAAGTCTCTAAAGCTTAACTAATTGCTACTTAAATGTTTTTTTTAAACTGTAATGCGTTTTAAATTTTTAACTATAATTTTTTATCTATGTACTATTTAAAATATATTTAATATATCCTGTCAAGATATCCTGACAGAGCTGAAAATATTGATGACTTAAGTCTCTAAAGCTTAACTAATTGCTACTTAAATGTTTTTTTTAAACTGTAATGCGTTTTATTTTAATTTTTAACCTTCTTTAGTATTGTATTCTTCCATTGCATAACACAAAATATCTGCATATTTTGGAGAGTCGTCATATTTAGTATTTAGAGGCAAGCATTCACACCGATAATGGGTCAAGCGATTTTATTATTCCAGGGCAGGACATTATTCACAATTAATTTTTAATTCAGAAAAAAAAAAATATTTGGAATATAAAATATAACTGTAACACTGTACATTGAAACAGATTTTAGAAGAAGGGCAAAAAAAAAAAAAATCAATGAATCAAATCAAACTCATGCATAAAGTGCAGAAGGTGCTCAATCTGCAACACCTGAAAGACATTTCTAACTAAAGCCATTCATTCATTCATTAACTGATTGTGACAGAAATCATTTAACTAGCATCCCTTTGTGCTTTTGGTCGGTCGGTCCAACACAGACCTCAGCGTGACGATGAAAACGTCCCCAGAATCAGATCGATTTCATCAAAGTTAAATATTTACGTGACTATAAATTCATTTCAGGATATATCCATACTTTGGCATTTCTCCTTTCATGTCACGCCATGAGCACGTCAGCGCAGGGAGACCAAAAAATCCTGAAAATTAAATTAATCAAATTAAACGTCACAGTTTTCTTGCAAAAAGTTACAGGGTAAAGGTCAGGTAAATAGAAAAGGTGCACATACAATATATGGCTCTGTTCGGAATCGCATACTAGCACACAACCTACACTATTTCTGCAGCATACTGTATGCGTACTGTGCACACTATGCATATTTTCTGTCAGTAAAATACCTGGATGACCTACAACATTTGCCAAAATGCAATTACAGAGCATAGAAAAAGCTGTTAAGATCTATAAGTATACACTACAGGTCAAAACATTGGCATAATTAAGATAATTAAGTCTCTACTACTCAACAAGGCTGCTTTTATTTGATCAAAAATACTGTAAAAATTCTGAAATATTTTTACAATGTAAAACAGCTGTTTTCTATGTGAATATGTGTTAAACTGTAATTTATTCCTGTGATGCAGCGCTGAATTTTCAGCATCATTACTCCAGTCTTCAGAGTCACATGATCTTCAGAAATCATTCTAATATGCTGCTACTGGAAGTAAGTATTCTGTGCAGTACTCAGTATGTAGTAAGCTAGTATTCCATTCCGAACACAGCGAATGTTCCAGGATGTGAAGAAGAGCACAGGAGCGTTTGATAGTAATATTGGGGACGAACGACAGTAAATCATGTGATTGCTGATTGCATGCATGAATTTGGTGTTTGTACACGATCTTACACGAACTAAAAAACCCTAAAGAATGAGTAGATAAAGTGACTCGAGGTGCATGAGACAGAAGAGTCATAAATAATCATCAACTATTAGGATTCATGGTGCTTAATTATGGAATGTAGGTGAAGCGATCTGTTAGTGAAACCGGGAACATTATTACGGACTTTTCATACAATTTCGGTCCAGTTCTGCAGGTTTTTAGAGCCTGGTTTACACCTGCTGTTAGGAGAGATGCATCGCTGTTGTTTTCTTTGAAATCTGCAGGAATAGTTCACCTGAAAATGAACATTTGCTGAAAATGTACTCATTCTCAGGCCATGTGAGATTAGGATGAGTTTGTGTCTTCATCAGATTTGGAGAAATGTAGCATTGCATCACTTGCTCACCATTGGAGTGAATGGGTGCCGTCAGAATGAGAGTCCAAACAGCTGATAAAAACATCACAATAATCCACAAGTAATCCACAGCACTCCAGTCCATCAGTTAACATCTGGAGAAGACAAAAGCTGAAACAAATCCAGCATTAAGATGCTTTTAACTGAAATATGAGTCCATAATCTAAAATTCTTTATGGAGACTGTGAATGGGATTTCAACTTCAGAAAAATGACTGTTATTGTTACTTAAAACCATTTTCATTAATTAAAAAAAAGCTTGAATAAAATAAAATATATGTATTATATGAAGAACTTTTAAGTTTAAAAAATTGCAAATGCTGACTGAAAATAAGTATGTTCGATTTAAAGTACTAAAATAAAAATAAACTAAATATGGTGAAATAAAAATAAAATATTAATATTAATAAAATAAAACATTAAACAAAAAAAGAGAAAATTGGAAATGCTGACTGAAATAAGTGTTTACTAAAATAAAAAGATTTCAAAATTTTATATTAATATTAAAAAAACTAAAATATTAAACTTTTTTTATTTTTAAAAATTACAATTAAAATTAAAAATGCAGCCTTGGTAACTAACTGAAATAAATAAGTTTAAGTGGAAGTACTAAATTACTAAAACTAAAATGGAAATAAAAATAAATTTAAGCTAAAAAGAAATATAAAAAACAACAACTAATAAAAATGACAAGAGCACATAAGAAAATTACTAAAATTGGGGGGAACGAAAACTGAAAATATAAAAATAAAGGCTAATTCAAAATAGTAATAATCCATAATAAGGCTTCCTCCAGTGAAATGAAGAAACAAACTCATCCTAATCTTGGATGGCCTGAGGGGGAGTGAATATTCAGTTCATTTTCATTCTGGGCTGAACTGCACGCTAGAGGTGCGTTCAGTCGCGCGGGTCGCTGATCTCTAAGTGGTCCGGGATGGGGAGCCCCGTGAGGACGGTCAAGCACTTGTTCCACACGCTGAAGACGGGACAGATGGGCTGCGAGAAGGCGATGTCGAAGGTGTACAGGTGCTGCGTTCCCGCGGCGTCGTAAAACGCCAGAGAGCCAGAGTCGTAGTCGAGCAGGACTCCCAGACGCCGCATGTGAGGAGACGGCTCGATGGGAAACTCCTTACTGTTGTGACGCACGACCCACGAGGTGTTGCAGCGGCTCAGTACCCATGATGCCGAGTCCTTACCCACCCAGCCGTGCTTGGGAGCCGATTTGTAGGCGATCCCGATAGCAAACCTAGACGAAATACATTTACATATACAAGTTTATTTATACACTCTACCGGTCAAAAGTTTAGAACAATTCAGATATTTTAATGTTTTTAAGTCTCTTCTGCTCACCAAGGCTGCATTTATTTGATCAAAAATACAGTAAAAATTGTGAAATATTATTATAATTTAAAATAACTGTTTTCTGTGTGAATATCTGTTAAACTGTAATTTATTTCTGTGATCAAAGCTGTATTTTCAGCATCATTACTCCAGTCTTCAGTGTCACATGGTCTTCAGAAATCATAATAATATGCTGATTTGCTGCTCAAGAAACATTTCTGATTATTGTCAGTGTTGAAAATCTTATTTTGATGTATTTTGATTTATGATACTTCTAGTCGATGATTATTTAGTATAAAAATGTATTTTAAATTTACTGCAAAATGTTCAGATTTATACAAGCATAAGTAGACTTATAAGGTTTATATGTTATCATTAAAGGTGTAGACAATATTATTATTAATATATTATCATTAAAAATAAACTTTTTGCGGAGACTGAATGGGATTTTAACTTCAGGAACGGACTGTTGTGCTCTATTCAGTGTTGTTATTGTTAATTAAAACGATTTTCATTATTTAAAATAAAGGTGAAATTAAAAGAAATAGAAATATTAGATGAAGAACTAAAAACTTGAAGTACTAAAATTACTAAAAGTAAAATAAAAATAAATGAAATAATAAAACAAAACTAAATACAACTAAATAAAATAAAATAAAATAAAATAAAATTAGATGAAGAGCTTAAACTTAAAACAGGGTTCGTACACATTTTTACCAATAAATTTCCATGACTTTTCCATGACTTTTGAGACAATATTCGTGTCCAGCAGCAGCGAGTGCTGGAAGAGTTCCATGTTAAAGCGCATGCAAAGCTTGCCGCAAAACGCCAGTAGTAATTACCATGATGAATGCCCCAGGGGAAGTAATTACCATGATGAATGCCCCAGGGGAAGTAATTACCGTGATGAATGCCCCAGGGGAAATAGAATATTCGCAGGGTTTCGGTTCATTTTTGTGAAGCGCTCCTGCTCAAGACCGAGACAGCAGAAAGCGTATCCTGTTTGTTTACACAATTCTATTATAGAGTTTTGTGAAATAGATTTCAATGACTTTTCCAAAACTTTCTGGGTTTATTTATTTTTCCAAAACTTTTCCAGGCCTGGAAATTGGTGTTTTAAAATTCCATGACTTTTCCAGGTTTTTCATGACCGTACGAACCCTGTTAAAAACATAAACATTTGAAATGCTGTCTTGGCAACTAACAGATATAAATAAGTTTAAATTGAAGTACTAAAATTACTATACGTAAAATAAAAATTTATTAAATATGATGAAAAATAAAATAAAATAAAATAAAATATTAGGTGAAGAGCTTAAACTTAAAAACATAACAATTTGAAATGCTGTCTTGGCAACTAACAGATATAAATAAGTTTAAATTGAAGTACTAAATATAGTTAAAATAAGATGAAATAAAATAAAATAAAATATTAATATTAATATTAATAAAACAAAATATAAATAAAAACATTAGATGAAGAACTTAAAATTAGAACATTAGAAACATTGACTTGCCAATTAACTGAAATAAATTAGTTTAAGTTGAAGTATAAAATTACTAAAACTGAAATAAAAAAATAAAATTAAATAAAATATTAATAACTAAAATTACTAAAGCTGAAGTAAAAAAAATCATTTTCAACCTAAATATAAAAAGCAAAAACTAAATAAAATGACAAAAGCACATATCATTTCCTAAAGTTAAAAAAAGAAGAAATAGAAGAAAACTGAAAATATTATAGGCATAAAAGCTAATTCAAAATAGTAATAAATAATATAATAATATATAAATAATACTAAAATAACTCTGGCTCTTTTCCAATATATTGTCATGTGACAAAGCATCATCATATCACTAAGTTTGAATAAGACAAGGAAGCAATGCAAATATGTTTACAGTGGCGCTGTGTGCGTTTACCATGTGCTTCCTCCGATCAGAACCTCCCAGTAATGCCTGCCGCTGTCGATGAACACGTTCCCCGTCACGCCGTAGTTCCCCGTGCTGCCGAAGCGGTCCTGAGCGTGGCTCTTCATGGACGAGGCTTCGTCCCGCTCCACCGTCAGATGGTCATGTGACACCTTCAGCTTCCTGTGGGCCGACTTTGGGTCGAGCTTAAACGGCTGACCTGCCATTCACAAACAATCACATCCATCCCATAATGCATCTGCTGCCAGTTACACAGAGTCAGAGCTCATGACTTCAGGAAATCCTGCAGCTGTTTACTGTGAGCTCAGATCACTACACATAAAGACAAACATTCGTTTGAAAATGAAAGCTGAAATAAAGCTGAAGTAAAATAAAATAAAATATTAGATGAAAAACTAAAAAAAAAAAAAAAACTTAAATGAAAATTAGAAATATTGCCATGGTAACTCATTGAACTGAAATATGTTTAAGTTGAAGTACTAAAATTGATAAAACTAAAACGGAAATAATATATATATATATATATATATATTAAAGGTCAAAGTCACTAAACAAAGAAATGACTACTAAAACAATTAAAACATTTATTGAATTTATTAATTGAAATTAAGCTGAAATAAAATAAAATAAATATTAGACAAAAAACCTAAACTTTAAAAAACTGAACATGAGAAATGTTTCCACGGCAACTAATTGAATTGAAATATGTTTAAGTTGAAGTAATAAAATTAATAAAACTAAAACTGAAATAAAAATAAATTAAAGCTAAATATTCGTTCATCCATCCACGAAATCCTAAGTAATTTTACTATAAGGTCAAATACACTAAACATAAAGACAAAGCTGAAATAAAATAAAGCTGAAACATAAATTAAATATTAGATGACAAACCTAAACTTATTAAAAATGTTGCCATGGCAACTAACTGAAAACTAAAATTGATAAAACTAAAACGGAAATAAAAAAAATATATTAAAGGTCAAAGTCACTAAACAAAGAAATAACTACTAAAACTATTAAAAAAATTAATTGAATTAATTAATTGAAATAAAGCTGAAATAAAATAAAAAAATAAATATTAGACGAAAAACCTAAACTTAAAAAACTTAATATGATAAATGTTTCCACGGCAACTAACTGAATTGAATTATGTTTAAGTTGAAGTAATAAAATTAATAAAACTAAAACTGAAATAAAAATAAAAATAAATTAAAGCTAAATATTCGTTGATCCATCTATGAAATCCTAAGTAATTTTACTATAAGGTCAAATACACTAAACATAAAAACAAAGCTGAAATAAAATAAAGCTGAAACATAAATTAAATATTAAATGACAAACCTAAACTTATTAGAAATGTTGCCATGGCAACTAACTGAATTGAAATATGTTTACGTTGAAGTACTAAAATTGTTCAAACTAAAACGGAAAAAAAAAAAATATTAAAGATCAAAGTCACTAAACAAAGAAAAAACTACTAAAACTATTACAACATTAATTGAATTAATTAATTAAAATAAAGCTGAAATAAAATTAAGCTGAAAAATAAAATGAAAAATAAATATTAGACGAAAAACCTAAACTTAAAAAACTGAACATGAGAAATGTTTCCACGGCAACTAATTGAACTGAAATATGTTTAAGTTGAAGTACTAAAATGTATAAAACGAAAGTAAAAATAAATTAAACCTAAATACTAAAAAAAACTAATACAAATGACAAATGCCCATAACAACATTAATAAAATTTAAAACTGAATATAAAATGAAAACGGAAAATATACAAATAAAAGTTAATTCCTATCAAATACAGAAATAATTTTAAAATAACTAATTCTAAAATAAATCTCTGTTGCAGTATATTGTCATTGACACGTGTAAGTGCTGCAGTCTCACTGTTGGTCTTGAGTTTGGCCGGCGGGCTGCTGCGGCTTCCAGCCTGATTCATGGCCTTCACAATGAAGATGTACTTGGTTCCGCTCTGCAGGCCGTGAACCGTGTAGTGATTCTGCTTGATGTTGGGCACGATCATCCAGCTGTCCATCGAGTTACACAGACCTGAAACGTCACGCACAACACCCAAAACAGTCTGTACATTTCTACTGGAGACGGACAATATGCTGAAATGCTCTTTTACTGTGACCATGTGCACAACAGGGGTATATACCCAGCTTAAAAATGATTCTGCATGTGCCATTTTTGAAAAGAAAAATGATTTCAGAATTAATTTTAGTTAATAAAATAATAATAATTATAATAATAATAATAATAATTGTACTAAAATGAAGCTTGAAAAGTAAAATCATTTCAGACCTAAAAGTCTTGTGAATTCCTGGTGTAAAATAAAATAAAATAAAAAAATAAAAAAAATTAAATTAAATTAAATAAAAAAATTTTAATTAAATAATTGTTTTTTTGTAATATTTGCTTTGTTTTTTTTTTTTTTATAAAAAAATTGGATGAAAAGCCTAAACTTTAAAATCATGAACTGAAACATGTTTTAAAATAATACAATTAATCAAACTAAAACTGAAATAAAAATATATAAAAGCTAAATATTCATTTATCCATCCAGGAAATCCTAAATAATTTTACTATGAGGTCAAAGTCATTAAACATAATAAACTATTGAAAATGAATTTAATTAATTGATTGAAATAAAGCTGAAATAAAATGAAGAATAATTATAATAATATTCAATGAAAACCCTTAACTTAAACAACATGAACTGAAATATGTTTTAAGTTGAAATAATACAATAATCAAACTAAAACTGAAGTAAAAATAAATAAAAGCTAAATATTAATTTATCCATCCAGGCCACAATGCTTGTGAATGAATCCATCCAAATTAATTGAATTAATTAACTGAAATAAAGCTAAATTAAAATAAAATAAAAATTTATGAAAAACTTGAACAAACAAAAAATGCACTGAAATGTGTTTTAAGTTGAAATACTAAAATTAAGAAACAAGCTCCACTTGCTTCTTCATTAAATTTGTTTTTGATTTTTTTGCAAACCACAATGACTAAATATGCTGCAGCTTTTCTCAAAAACGTTTTCTCTTTTGTTGTTTTGCTGTGAAAACCCAGCAATAATCATTATGCATTTCTGAATTAGCATTAGTGACAGTAAGAATACAATTACCTGTACATATTTTGTGCATAATTAATGAAATCAACTGCGCAAAAATACAGTGACACCAGTATAGAAATACTTCTAATTCTTGCTTCCTGAAAATACAGAATTTTGTTTGATACAGAATCTTTTTTTAGACAGTTTTGACAATTTGTTACATTATTGTCTATTGTTTTTTTTTCTTTTTCTTTTAATATTTAATTTAAATCTGCCGGTGAAATCAGGCGTTATAATGACTAGCAAATATTCTCCCCAATATATATTATATTCTATAATATAATATATATTATAAAATAAAATAAAATAAAAATATTTGATGAAAAACCTAAACTTAAAAAAAAAAAAAACAAGGACTGAAATGTGTTTCAAGTTGAAATAATACAATTAATCAAACTAAAGATGAAAAAATCCAGAAAATCCTAAATAATTTTAGGTCACAGTCACTAAACGTAAATAAAAAAACCTAGTAATATTATTGAAACTTTATTTAATTAATTACCTGAAATAAAATAAAATAAAAATATATAATGAAAAACCTCAACTTTAAAAACATGTTGCCATGGCAATTAACCGAACTGAAATATGTTCTCAGTTATTTCAGTTCTAAAATTTCTAGAACTAACACTGAAATAAAAATAAATAACGGCTACATATTTATTCATCCATCCATAAAACCCTAAATAATACTATTATGAGGTCAAAGTCACCAAACTAAAAATGTAATTAATTAATTGAAATAAGGTTGAAATGAAATGCAATATAATAAGCTGAAATAAAATTAAATAAACATATTTGATGATATTAGATATTAATATATAAAAATAATAATTCAGCACTGTGTGTTAATTGCATATTTGGATTAGCTAATAATCCCCCCTCAATTTAACATTTCTGCAGAAAAATTGTGAAAATATAACAAAAAAGCAAGTTGCAAATAAATTGCAAATAATGCGGCAAGCGGTTGATTTTGCATTCATTCTTGCAGTCACAGGATCTGATGTTATTGCACTGAAATGCATGACTCGTTTGCAGTGTTTTCTGCTTCTCTGGCTCTGTGTTCGTCCTCAGGTCTGCCGGACAGCAGCTCTGAACTGTGCTTTAAGTACACTGTAACCTGATTGACTCAGAAAGCTTTCTCCGTCTGCAGCGGCTCGTCCTGCAGTATAATCTGCTCTAATCCACACATTTTCAGGGATTTCTGGCTGGATTGTGTTTGCTTTCGTGCCGTAATACCATCCTGACCCCTGCAGCGCTTTATAAAGTGATGGGTTCGTAATTAAATCACAGCGCGGGTTGATTCGATTTCTCGTTTTTCACATAATGACATTACAGACGGATACGGTCGGCCTGTATTTCACAGATGGTCATCTGGAGCGAGTTTCGGCGCGGTTTACTTACTGACGACGTTAGTCTGCAGGGTTCCCACTCTTTCATGAACACCAGATTCAAGGACTTTCAAGGACTTTTTCAAGCACCATTTATTTTATATCAAGCACCTATCAAATTCACACCCCAGCAGATGTAGTGTCATGAAAGACCTTACAGTACTTAACATTTCACTTACACTTAACATTTACATTAAACATTTCAGACTAATAATGTTTTGAATGTGTAGGTTTCATAAATTTTGACCGTTTTGAGCAGTCGTGTTCAAAGGAATTTAATGAAATCCATTGAAGTCAGTACTGGTAATATTCAAATTAAATTTCTAAAATATTGATAAAATATGCATCAAACTGATTTTTGCTGTAGTTCTTGTACAAGATTTAAATTTGAAAGAATTTCTCAATTTTTAAATTAATAAAAAGTGGTTAAATGTTGTAATAACATGGTAAAAGCTGATAACATTACAAATTTGCACATTCACTCAAAAGATACGTTACTCATTAATAAATAAACTCAAGTCAAAATAATTTTGTAAATTACTTTATTGTAAATCCCATTTTTTTCATCTTTGACCTAGAGGAATGCAGCTGCTCAAACATGCAGCTGCTCAAAACGTCAGTATTTGTTGAAAATATTTCATGAACATTTTAAACCTTGTACACGTGCAAATCTGCAAAAAAAATATTAAGAAAAGAAATTTAAAAAATAGGACTTTCTATTTGCTTTTAAACTGTAAACGCTTTTCACTAAGCTGTTTTTCCAATTTTTCAAGTTCTACATTTTCTCCTTAGCTCCATGTTGCAGTAAGTTTTGGGAGTTCATTTTTAGTCCATCTCCTATCCAGAGAAGTGTGTCTTGCAGAAACTAACAAAAATGAGCTCCTAAAACTTACTGCCAGATTCTGGAAGATAAATTCTTCAAACAGTGGTACAAGAGGATGTGG